GCTGCTGTGGGATGCAACAGGTGCATCTGGGATTAGCCCATGTTGGATATTTCTAATTAATGGCCAATCACAGTCAGCTGGCTCCGACTCTCTGTCCGAGACACAAACCTTTGTTATCATTCCTTCCTATTCTATTCTTAGCCAGCCTTCTGATGAAATCCTTTCTTCTGTTCTTTTAGTATAGTTTTAATATAAAATATATAATAAAATAATAAATAATGCCTTCTGAAACACGGAGCCAGATCCTCATCTCTTCCCTCATCCTGGGACCCCGGTGAACACCGTCACACTGGGAGCACAGGGAAGAGCAGCACAGAGATTTCAGGGGTCCAGCCCCCCCAGAACCCCTCTGTGCTGCAGCCAGTGGTCACTCTCATCCTCATCTCCCTTTACTGGAGCAGCCAGGGCCCCTGGGGAGCTGCTTTTGGGGAACGAGGGAGCAGGACCCCTCCTCAATGACCCCCTGCTAGAAAATACAGAGTAAATCACACCTGCCAGCGCTTCTCCTTCAAACAAAAATGAGCTGGAGCTGGAGTTGACTTAGGATATAGATCTCTATCCTCTCAGTCATTCGTGTGCTAGTTTTTCATAAACTTGGCTGCTTCTCGTTTGCCCTCTAATAATTCTCCGAAGGCTCATTTCCCCTGTATAACTCTGTGCAAACACAAAGTTGAGGAAAGGGTATTTAGACTCATCCTCCAGGAATGCTGTTGTTGAGGAAAAGCTTGTTTACCTACGTCAGTAATTTCCAAGAATATAATGTGCATTTGAAGATCAAATGTGAAAACTCCAGCATTTGGATGAGGTTGAAGCTCCGGTGGAATTGCAGTCTGGCTGCTCCCAGCTGGCTCCTCACCCCAGCTCATCAAAACCAGGGAAAAGCAGGGGATTGCCAGCTCCAGCAGTGGGAGGTTAGCCCTGAACCCCTCCACTTGGGAAGCCTTTGTGGCATTACTATTCATGAGTGAGAAGGGACCTGATAATTCTGTTATTAGGTATTCCCGGGTAAGTGAAGATAAATGTGATCAACAGCAGGAGCCATTACAAGTTCCCTACAATGCAAGTTACCTTGCTACAGGTTTTTTTTTCTATATATTTTCTTATTTTTCAAGTATGCAAGGAGGAAAATATTTGTAAAGTCCCGTACATTTTTAAGAGCGTATTTACTAAGATTACAAAAGAATAACTCACTGATGAGATGCTTGGCACACATCACACCCATCTTTCCCTGTAATCATGAAATCTCAGAATCCCAGCATGGCTGGGGTTGGAAGGGACCTTAAAGCTCATCTTGTGCCACCCCTGCCGTGGGCAGGGACAGCTCCCATCCGGCAGTTCCAGTTTGCAGAGATGGACAGCCTCGAGGAGAGCATCCAGCACAGGGAAGCACCAGGTCGGGTGCAACTGGGTGGGAACAGGGAGACACCCCCGGTCTGGGATTTGGGATTTGGGATTTGGGATTCTGGGATTCTGGGATTCTGGGATTTGGGATTGTGGGATTCAGGGATTCTGGGATTCTGGGATTCTGGGATTTGGGATTCTGGGATCCTGGGATTCAGGGATTCTGGGATTCTGGGATTTGGGATTCTGGGATTCCGGGATTCTGGGATTCTGGGATTCTGCGATTCAGGGATTCTGGGATTCTGAGATTTGGGATTTGGGATTCTGGGATTCTGAGAGTTGGGATTCTGAGATTCTGGGATCCTGGGATTCTGGGATTCTGGAATTCTGGGATTCTGGGATTCTGGAATTCTGGGATTCTGGGATTTGGAGATTCCGGGATTCTGGGATTCTCTGGTTTGGGATTCTGGGATTCTGGGATTTGGGATTCAGGGATTCCAGGATTCTGGGATGCTGGGATTCTGGGATCATGATGGCAGGGCCATTCCTACATCCTGTGGCTGGAGGCTGGGCCCAAGGTGATGGATGTGCTCCATGGCCGTGCCTTTGCAGGCAGGCAGGTGCACAGAGCCGCAGGGACAGTGACCAGGAATGTGACAGGGACAGGGAATGTGCAGGCTGCTGCCAGCAGGCAATAAATAAATCCTGAATAAATCCTGCTGTGTGCTCAGCCAGGAGCAGCCCGGGCACTGCGAGGCCCCTGCAGGCAGTGCCAGGGGATGGCTGTGCCCCAGCACATCCACCTGCTGCTGCGCTGCCTGTCCCCTGTTGCCCTATTCCCCTGCCACCCTGCCCCCTTGTCACCATGTCCTCCTGTCACTGTGTCCCCGTGTCACCCTGTCCTCTTGTCCCCTCTGCCCAGCACCCTGCCCATGCAGGTGCAGGTGCCCCATCGTGTCCCCTGGGGCCACCTCGGACCCCAAGGGGCTCCCCCTGCCCCATGCCCGACCCTGCAGCAGGACCAGGCTGTGCAGGGGGTGATGCCCGAGCCCCCCGTGCCCGGGCTGGGGTCTCCCTGTGCCACATCCCCAGGTGCCCAGGCTGGGGTCCCCTGCTGCACCCCCAGGTGCCCCTGCCCGGGACAGGCCGGACAGAGCCGCAGCTGGCACCAGGGAGGAAAGTTTGTAAAGAAAGTACTGAACACAGACTTGCCGGGGTATCAGAAGGAAAATTTATGCATCGCCTTTGAGTTCAACTTCTCCATTAAAGCTTTTTCCCTATAATCTAGGGAGTTCTTATCTTGGTGACTTATGATGTTATGGAGGGGCTCATGCATGGAAAATGTCAATAGAAATAGTAACTCTAGAAGGGAAGGGCCTCCTAATTAGTCCCCATTTAGATTTTATGATGGCTTTGAGATCTGCTCATCCTGACAGTGCGCACTCTGGTTACATATTGTTCTAGCCTGAGGGAACCATAGGAAAATCCAGATTTATTGTACCTATCATACCAGCATATTTCATTTGCCATTATGAGCAGCCATCTCGCAATGATGCAGGAGTATTTATTACAGATTAAATTGTAGGACCTGGATGGTTTAGTGAGGTTCTTGAGGTATCATTTATGTCATTAACTGGCTCATTATCAGATCTGCAAATCTCAATTCCTTTTTTTGTGCCTTCTGTTTCCGAGCAGGGACCTGGGCTGGGCTCTGGCAGGTCCCAGGGTATGTGTGTGTGAGCCAGGGCATCCAGGGGGTGCTGGAGCTGCTCGGGGTCCCTAGGGAGCCCCCACTCCACACCAGAGCCACCACACCTGCCCCGAGCGCTGTCACCTCCTGTCCCCCGGCCCCACACCCATCCCTCTCCATTAGCCACAGCTCAGAGAGGTGAGCCTGGCAAAGGCACTGCCAGCAGAGGAGGTAATTTAACTCTAATTATTTAACAAGTCTGTTCCAGGCGTAAGCTTATTACCGGCGGCGAAAGGATATGCTGGATTTTTTTCCTCTCTCTCTCTCTCTTTTATGCTTTATCTCTACTTGGAGAATTATTTGAAGAGGTTTAATCCAGCCTTGATTGTTGTTGTTAATGGGCAAGGAGAATGGGTTGTTCCGTGTGCTCGGCTCTCCAGAAAAGTCCTGGGCAAAGGAGCTCTCAGGCACTGCCTGGCTCTTCGATTTAGTGATATTATTTGAATTTATTGTTCGATTCGGCTCGCGTGTCCTGCCTTGTTGGTATTTGCCCTATTTACTCTCCTATATTGCTTTTTCATAAAACCAGGGGATGGCATTTAAGTTGTTGTGTTCTTTGGTATTAAAAGGCACTTGGAACAAGCCCGGGAGCACATCCTGGATTGTGGGGTTCAGGGCATGCTCTGCTGCAGAGCCTGCCCCACTCCTGGGCTGCTGAGATTAATTAATTCCTGTGGTGGCCAATATTTGTGGGGAAGAAAACGCTGGGGAGGACAGAAATAATGCATGAAAATGCCATCTCTTCTTGGTGGCCAAAGGCTGTGGAGGGCGTTTGCCGTGGCTGACTGCACCCCAGTTCCCTTTGTGGATGTGGCGGTTCTGCACTGGTGGCCGTGTGAGGATAAATTCAGGCAGTGCATTTTTCCCACCCTAGGGTGTTCCTGAGCTCCACGGGTGCCCCACAGCATCGCCCCAGAGGGAGCAGCTGCAGGCAGGGCTGGGGACTGGGCAGGAGGGAGAGCAGGGGGAGCCCAGCCCTGCAAGCCCAGCTCAGCCCCCAGATCAGGGCTGGGCACCCAAATATTCCCCAGAGCTGCCCCAGGGAGCCTCCTGTGCTGGGCCCTCGTGGGGGTCCCCCCTGCACCCCAAAACCTTCCCCAAAACGCCTGAACATTCCCTGTGAGCACAGGCACACAACCTCCGAATAAATCCGCAGCGCCTTTTGGAGGTCTGCGAAAATTAATGCTTCCCAGTGCTTGGTGCCCTGCTCCTGGTTTTAATTATTTTAGTTATTTATTTTATTGAACACTCTGTACCTGTCTGTGAAGCAGAGCTGTCTGCTCCAGGGTTAAACGGCCACACCAGGTTGGAAATAGAATGTGTGAGCATTTAGACTGCGCCTTTCCTTGAAAAGCATCAGGGTCATGCAAGATTTAAAAATGTTCAAATGAGATGCTTCTTGCTCTAATTTACACACATCCCTTCCCTATTTCTTTAATTTACATTGCATTTTCCTTTATCAGTACAAAAAATAAGGGATATTTATAAATGAAAAGGAGAAGAATTGTTGGGTATTTATCTCAAACCAGCCCTCCAACATCTGCCTGCAGTGTGCACACTGGCTGAGGGAATCCTGCGTGAGAACGGCAGCAGAAGTGGCAGTGCCTGTGTGTCCCCTCCAAAGGGACATTTTCTGTTCGAGCTGCTGCAGGGCCACCAGGAAATTCAGGTACTTTGAGAAACCTATAGGAAAGCCTTGCTGAGCAGGGATGGTTTGGACATTGTTTAGCTATTCCTGTGCTGGGTGTTTTAAATTGAAAATGGAGTGTAATTAATAAAAACAAATAAACAAACACCTTTACCTGAGTTGATAGCAAATGACAGAGAATTTAGGACTGAAGGAGCCATCTCCCCAGGCTGGAGATAAACAGGATCTGCTCAAAGCAGAGCTTTGTGAGGATGCCCTCGCCAGGCTCGGTCCTTGCCGGGCAATCTGAATATCGAGGCTGCTCGTTAATCTCCATTCCTGGCTTAGGCTGGGCTGGGCTGCTCCGGCAGCAGGCTGGGTTGCCGTAGGAACCAGGAATTCAAGTAAATATGCTCAGGAAGGAGAAATGTCTACTAATTAAATGTGAGTAGCATTGATAAAGGGCCCGGGCTGGGGAAAGGTAGAACGTGATGGCCTTCCTTATAATTCACTAGAAAATAGGTTTATATCTATCTATATCTAATCTATATCTATATTTATATCTGTATCTATATCTAGATCATCTATATCTATATCTATATATATACCTTTATATATTTTACATATATGGATAATATTGTAGACTATTTTATATATGTATGTATCTGCATACATATATATGAAATTATATGAAATTATATGTACCTAGAAATTATATATATTGGTAATAATATAAAAATACATATATATATATTTCTCTATATAAAAATATATATGATAACAATATAAAAATACCTATATACGTATATATATATTAAAATATATATAAAAATATATATGAGAGGTTTACAAGACTGATAAATGATGCCTCTTTGTGGAGACAACTACATGCATTGAAGATGACAGCAACATTTTTATATAGAAGTGACACTTTATACCTTTTTTTCCTTTTAAGACTATAAATTCTATAATCTTCTCTGATCCCTTTTATGGCTTGCACATGTCAGGTGAAGGCATTCCCTGGCTCTGTGGGTGGTGGGAGCCCTGATCCACCCTCTCCCACACCCACCTTGCCCACCTGGGGGGATTTTCATGGAGAGGGACCCCATGCCCCAAGTGCTGCCTCAGTTTACCCCGGGGGCAAATGAGATAATCAAACTTCTGATCTCCCACTTCTTCTTTGTTTGCTCCTCAGCTGATTTTCCTCTTTTTTTGTCCCAGAAAAGAGCTGTTTATTGCTGCACCCATAAATGAAGCCCAGCTGGACCCCGCAGGTGCTGTTTGGTGCCAAGCTCAGCTGCTGGGCAGGGATGCTGACACCCAGCATCTCCCAGAGATGTCCTTCCAACCCTAATGAACAGCAACCTGGGCAATTAATGGCACACTGAGAAACAATAATGATGTCACAGGTGGGGAAACTGAGGCAGGAAAGGAGAGGCAGGTTTCATGTAAAGCCTGCAGATGTGGCACTGGGGACACGGGTTAGGGGTGGGCACCGTGGTGCTGGGCTAGAGCTTAGAGGGCTTTTCCAGCCCAAATGATCCCGTGATTCTGTGATAAAATCTCTAATATTGGCAAATTGGCTTTATTAGCTTCCCCTCCTGGAACGGCAGGGACCCAGCGCCGGGCTTTGCTGAGCTCAGGCGTCACAGGAAGGGGAATTGGGGCGGGTTTTGTGTCCCCGTGCCCCACAGCCGTGTGCAGCCACAGCCGTGTGCCCGAGCTCTCACAACGGGAGGATGGATGTCACAGCTCCTGCGGGAGCACCCGGGCGGAGCTCAGGGTCCCCAGGGGCCGGGATTTGCTGCGTTCCTGAGTTCCTGCCAGATGTGCAGCTGATGTTCCGCCCGCCGGGCAGCGCTCCCGGCGGAGCACGACGAGGTGCCTTCATCTGCATAAGCACGTGGACTCCGCGCTCGTCTCATTCGCGCTTTTAATTACAGTTCAAGGACTAAATCCATCTCAGTCAGGCTCGTGCTCAGCTGGGATAGACCCAGGAGGGTCCCAGATTTACAGCAGGGCGGGGAGCGCGGGGTGTGCCTGGGTCCTGATGCTCCTGGGGCTCTCACACTCATCCTGGCTGGATTTTACACCGGCCGTGGCTGCTGCCCTTGGCCATGTCCCTGAGGGAGCGGGGGCCTGGGCAGCGCTCAGAGTGCTTCACTGGCCAGGGCAGCTCGGGGCTCTCTGCTGGGACCCCTGCAGTGCTGGGATCCCTTTGGTGCTGGGACTCCTTTAATGCTGGGATCCCTTTGGTGCTGGGATCCCTTTAGAGTTGGGATCCCTTTAGTGCTGGGATCCCTTTGGTGCTGGGATCCCATTAGTGCTGGGACCCCTTTAGAGTTGGGATCCTTTAATGCTGGGATCCCTTTAGTGCTGGGACCCCTTTAGTGCTGGGACCCCTTTAATGCTGGGATCCCTTTAATGCTGGTTTCCCTTTAGTGCTGGGACCCCTTTGGTGCTGGGACCCCTTTAGAGTTGGGATCCCTTTAGTGCTGGGACCCCTTTGGTGCTGGGACCCCTTTAGAGTTGGGATCCCTTTAGTGCTGGGATCCCTTTAATACTGTCACCTCTGTAGTGCTGGGACCCCTGTAGTGCTGTCACTCCTGTGATGCTGTCACCCCTTTAGTACTGTCACCTTCTGTCCATCCCTGCCTTGGTTTCTCCTGTCCCCACCTGGGCCGAACCCAAAGCCCTGTGGTTGCCCTGTGAGCCTGGGGTTCAGGGCAGGGGTGGTGACCGCAGGGCCACCAGGACCCCCAGCCACCCTGATCCTGGGGCGCTGCTGCCTGCTCCCCTCTTCTTCCCACCGGCCAGGGAAGGACCCCTGGGATGAGGAGCGCAGAGTTGGGATGCTGCCCCAGCAGCATCCAGCACATCCCCTCAGCAAGGAAGAGGGGCTGAGGAGAGACAGGCTGCTCCCAGTGCCCCCGACCATTTACAATTTATATGTCCTTGTCAGACGGGGAGTTTGATAGCTCTAATGTCATGTTTGTCCTTCACCTGGAGAAAATCCCCTCTAAAGATCACCAGCCCGGCTCTGTTGACAGGAACTGCGCAGGTCACGCCTTAACTTGTGCGGGATCGTTCCAAAACACAGATCTTTATCAGGGCTGAAAGCACGGGGAGAGAAAAGCCCCAAATCGCTGTGATTCCCAGGTGGGATGGGGCCCAGAGCAGGTCTGGATGTAGAGAGGAGCTGGTGAATTTGGGGATGCAGCCGTCCTTGCATGGTTCCTCCAGCAGAACCAGGCTGTGCTGGGCAGGATTTCTTTCCATTTCTGGCAAAGCTTTCTGAAATGTAAATATTTCCATGCCCTGTCTGGACACTTCTGCTCCTCCCTGGTACTTCCATTTTCCAGGAATCCTTTACACACAACTCCCAGAGATCCATGTTAGAGGAAGAACACATCCCAAGGGCAGACCCTGCAGAGCAGCAGCTCTCCTGGGTTTGGTGGCATCCCTACTCCTTCCCCATGACCTGGCATCCAGGAGCCCTTCCCTGCCTGCCTGCAGCCAGTGGGGCTGGGGATGTCCTGGGCATGGGCTGTGGCTCTCTGGGAGCTTCCTGGAGAACGTGAGCTGGGATGTGGGATGGGATCCTGGCTCCCCTCTGAGCCTGAGGAACTCCAGCCAGGAGCTGGAGCTGCTGTGCCTGGGACAGGCACCTGGCCAGGCAGATTTGCTCTCTCTAGAGGGATACCCTGGCCAGGCAGGTTTGCTCTCTTTGGAGGGGTATCCTGGCCAGGCAGGTTTGCTCTCTGTGGTGGGATACCCTGGCCAGGCAGGTTTGCTCTCTCTGGTGGGATACCCTGGCTAGGCAGCTTTGCTCTCTCTGGAGGGATACCCTGGCCAGGCAGCTTTGCTCTCTGTGGTGGGATACCCTGGCCTGGCAGGTTTGCTCTCTTTGGAGGGGTACCCATGCCTTGCTCAGCAGCTGCAGCTTCCCCAGTGATGATGCTCCCAACATGTCACCACGAGGGACACTCCATAGACAAAACACCTCCAGAATTTCAGCCCCATTTTTATTTGGCTTGTTACTGCTCTTCTCTTGACATTCAGGTGTCCTTGATCCACTCTGCTGCTGGATGCTGCTCTGTGCCTCCTTTGGGAGCTGGTCAGGGGCAGGGAGCCAGGTGAACCCCAGCTGTGCAGCTGCCCCAGTCCCAGCAGGCAGCCTGTGCATATATATGTTTATATGTGGGTTAAAAATTCCCAAATTTATATATATATGTGCATATATATATATAAATTTGGGAATTTATAACCCAAACTCCAGTGTGCACCTCACACAATGCACCCACTGGATGCTAAAGCTGGGTGCAGCATTAAAAATAAGGGAAGACAAAGCACCCTCGAGGGCCTGACCCAAGCTGTCCCCTGGGAACAGGACAGTGTGCTGCTGGGTTTGGGCACCCAGGGAGGGCAGGCTGTGCCCGGGGCACACGTGGGACTCCCGTTAATTTAAGGGGAATTATGTGAATTGTACAGCATGGGTTGACTATACTCCTGAGGATTGCAGTTATTATGTTTACCATCAATATTCATGAAGGCTCCTTAAAAAAAAAAAAAAAAAGGCAGCGGGGAAATTTTGCTCTGAAGCAGAGAACTGCCACTTCTGGGAGAGTCTGCAGAAGCAGTGTGTATTTCCCAGTTTATTTGTCCTCTGTTTTTCTCAGAGTGTTGTCTGGAGTTCTGAGAAGAGTTGTTGAGAAAAACAAATTGTGCTGGTGCACTTCATTTTACAAAGGTCCTGAGGGATCAGGCAAGGGGAATGGCTTCTCCTTGATAGAGGAAAAGGTTGGATGGGATACTGGGAGGAAATTCTTGGCTGTGAGGGTGGGCAGGGCTGGCACAGGGGCCCAGAGCAGCTG